TACCATTTTGAAATCAGTTGATTTGAGGGTGTCACAATAAGCGAGGTAGTAAATCGTTTTTATGCTACGAAAAAATGCAGACCTTAAACTTATTTTTTGGACTTTAGTACAAAGTCATTTTTGTTTGATTACCTAACGTTTTAGGTTCATGTGCTGCAAGTTACAGAGCACATACCTAAGCGGCCATCCCTCAGCAAATAATGAAGCAAAGGCATTTTGAATGCGGAAATCGCAAAACTCGCCCTTTTTACGCAAACTAGGAAGTTCGAATTACTAAACGAAGTACTGGACGACGAAGATGAAATATCCAAGAATTAACAAATATCAAAAATTATATCTCAAAAGTGAATATTCGTGGTGTATTTTAAGTCTAACCGGACCATACGTGCTAAAGTGCTAGTACTCTAATTATCCAAACATATTTTAGTATTAAGTAGTAATTATTATTATTATTTACTTGAAATATTTCTAATATTCTAAATATTTCTAATTTCTGCTTACAATAACCTTTTTAATTTTTGTTCACTATTCTGTAAAGGGTGTTGATTTCAGTGATGCCTATCATGCTTTGTTAATAAAAAAGGGTTGTTGATTTCAGTGACGCAACAGCGAGCGCTGTATTACAGACTGCCAGAGTCATATCACAATAAAATATAAAAAATGTATGGGCGTCAGAGGGTGTCGATTTCAGTGATGCTTATCGTGCTTTGTTAATAAAAAAGGGTTGCCGATTGTTAAAAAATAAAATATGGCCACAAGGGTTATCGGTTTCAGTGACGCAGTGCTTTATGGTTACAAAAACGTTGGGGTTTGTGTAACCACGGTTAGTAACCGTGGTGTAACCCTCATGGTTAATTAACACATCATGCAAGGTGTGATTCTTTTGTTAGACGCTTGTTATTGTTTCCGTGTCACAAGCGGCAGCAACGAGCGCCGTGTTATTTATGTAAAAAATAAATACTGCACGACGGCAAGGGTTGAATCAAGAGTGGTGAGAGGCATGTAGTAATCTTCAGTAGAAATGAAATACAAGAGTTTTGAAACTATGCCATGTTATTGTATGTACAAACCGGTAGGCGTTAGGCTGTTGGCAAGCAACAAGCAATATGTTGCCATGACGATCCGGCCCTGGTTTGTACGATCCAAAACAGATTGGGTATAAATTATATTCGATATGTGTTCATATCTAATGTCAATATATTAAATGCACAACGAATGTATGACTATCTTACTCACAGCTTATTTTTCGTCTTTTGCAGGGCATTTTCACGATTTAACACCCTATTTTACACAATGCAGCAGATGTTTTTTTTTTTATTTATTCGCCACCGCCTTTGTACTAGACACCATATGGTCC